TTTTAATTTTGCGCAAGAATCGTTTGGAATAGCCCCTCTCTCTTAATTTACTGAAAACTAGTCTACAAGCTGCATCAAAATCTACTTTTTGAGTGCAAATTCTAAAAAAACGTAAAATTTGTGATTTGATTATTCCCGTAAAAGTATGTTTTGGGTGAAAAGAGTTTTTATATAAAAGTTGGTGAGTATCCGTTGGTTTAAAAAATACTTTGATGTCTAATATGTTTGTTTGAGAGAAACTTGGTCCTTTGAATACCGTAGTATCCAAAAAATCCATACTTTGTTCAGAAATATTCGCAGTTAGTTTTACAGAAGTATAATTAACTTCTCTTAGTATTTATCTTCAATATCAATTCATTATAACTAGTGACATTTCCTCCAAAGAACTACGATTTTAAAATAACATAGTGACTGACAAAATAAGATACGTAGCGTGATTTATTGCTAAAAGTCACTGAAACAACATAAGAATATGGTCCACTTTTTGTTCCATAGAAATTTTCTGCTGACACGGAATCCGCTAGTTGATCACGTGTCTTCATTCGTTGGACTACATTCTAGCAGACGACACTTGGAATTCCGATTACGGCTATGGAATTTAAGGAAATTCGGCTGATAAAAATGGTGACGTTTGGTAATAAGTGAAATCCGCCATTTTGTATTTGTCAAATGTATTAATACATTTTACCTTGCTTGAAACTACTGGATTCATTCTACTAGCTGATGTTGTAGAGAAATTATTATTAAAACAAACTAATGCGGAGGTCGTGCAAGGTCGCTCATGTAAATTATTAATCATTTCCGGAAATCCACGAATAATAGGTTTCCGCGAAATAAGATTACTCGACTGTATGTAAAGTTTGGGTCTGAAATCTTTCTAACGTCAATGTACCCTCACGCATGATTAGCGCGCACTGTTGATTGCCTTATATGGAAAGTGAAAGTACAATTCCTCGAATAGCTTTTCCCAAATTATATAAGTAGTTACTTATTATTGTAATTTTGTATCTTTTCAGTTAATCGTCAAATATCATATCTTGTTAGATTCAGCATTATCCACATATTTATGGTTTTATGATATTAAGGTTTTAATTGTTTGGTAGCGTATATACAATCAATTTGAAGATAATTTCTTATCGTTCCGACGTAATTCGATTATTTCCGTTTCATTTCGATTTGAATTGTTGCGTAAGCTAGTATTTATCGGAATAGGACTAAACGTGAGGGGTGGTTCGTCCATTGTTTACAGTTGGTTTATAAACACCTCGACACATCTCATCTTTACACTGTCAATTACATTGTCATTAAAACAACTTCATACAGGTGAATCGGGCACTATACCATTAGTTTAAGGTTAGTCTTTTTGTTTTAAGTTTTAATTTGAAAAATGCTATATTTTATTTTTATTAAAACATACAATATATATTAATATAAAGAGTGTGCAATTTGTCATTTTTTTTATTGCAGTCATATTAATAAGGTCGTAACATAAAAACAGTCTACGTTTTACAATATGCAATAGATTTTACCAAATGTCAAAAAACAAATTAGATGTAGTTACTATGTATAGAGTTAAATCTGACAAGATAATATGTCCAGGTCCTGTCAAAACTTTAAGATGAGGTATGTTAGATAGTAGAAAAGAAAAACTTGACGTCATAAAGGATGAAACCACATTTGTAATTGATCCATTAAATATTTACGTAGCTGATAAAACTAAAGTTTGAGAATAGAAATTTCAATATGCAAATCGTATAATATAACAATTATGAATTTTTCACCAAGGGTGTAAATGATATGGATATTTAAAAACGATAGAGGGTATTATAGGCAATTCGTGTGATATTCAAACCATAGACGCTAGTTTGATTGGGATATTTATTCTTGGATATATCAACATAAGTTAATTCAACGTTAGCGTTATGTTGATAGATGAAGCGAAAAGATGGGAAATTATATGCCATTAAATTATCAGGATTGTCAAGCCATGTCAGATATAATTTACACGTATTTCATTCACTCTTAAAGCTATTGCATTGCATATTTAAATTATTTGTATTTCTTGTAAATCTTTTCAGAAGCAATTTATTTCTTATCAAACTTATTTATTCTTATGCTGAAATCCATAGTCTATAACGTATAAGATAATAAATCTTTGACACTTAATACGTATTATATGACATTATTTTGTATGGAGTGCACACGTCAACTGGGCTTGTTTTGTCATTGTTTTTATTTTTACCTTGTACTCAACTAACACTTTATAAATAACACTTTCTACAACATCAAAACACCCTTTTCTTTACCGTCTTTATTTCTTTTAAACAAAGTGTGTAAGGTTAAAACTTTAAATTGTTAAAGACAAGTTTCGAACCTAGAAACATTTTTAAAATACTTGTACGTTGAGTGTGTCATTGTGGCAGCATCCTTTTTTTAAAACTAAATGATGGAATTCGGTTCCAATGATTTAAACTCATATTAAACAATTTTGTATTCTGCTTCCTTTCGTTTAAAATTTTCTGAAAAAAAAATGTTGTAATGTGCCAAATATATGCAGTATCATTTCGCAACCCCTTAAATAATCTTAGTTTTTCAATTGAAGACGTTTTAACATAGAACCTTTCAATTTCAAAATTGTATACATAAATGTTTAAAGTTCATTACTTCCTTTCGAATCCCCTATATATTATTTTCACTCGCAATGATATCCAAAAAAAATTCATTCTTGAAGGAAATATCCTTTGGGCTTTATAGAAACCCAGTTTACTAGTAAATAATCTCGGGGCTTTATAGAAACCCATTTTACTGGCAACGTGTTCATCAGTTTTTAGGGGCCCATGTTATATATTTCAAACGCGATTACCGGAAACCATTAAAGTTATATATGCATTCATTTTAGCAAACAAAACAAATAACAGGAAATAAAACCAACAAACCTTTGACATCGAAACCAATGTTAAGGTCAATCGAATTGTCTTCGAGCATCCGGGTATAATAGATATCAAAATAGTGTAGAAATTATCTAATTGTCCCAAATCAAGATTCATTATATTAATGTTTATACTCTTATTGTACATGTTTAAGCGTTATTATAATTATTTCGTGCTTAAAGGGATTTGCCATTTTGGGGGTTGATTTGGGTCTTGAACATATTATGTAAATAATCTTCAGAAGTACTAGAATTTTACGAAAATTGCACAATTCCTTCAAAAATACCTCAACCTAGGAATTTGTCTTTTCATTTCGATACATGTCTCAAGAAAAGACCAGTCGTTATTCTAACTTTCAAACACATACTCTTTGACACACGTGGATTTTCAGGCCCATATTCCGACAGTGAGCTGTGAACAATGTTACTAGTTAGCGTAGCTAAAAGAATTCCCGTTTCTGACACTAAGGTACAATTGGTCAAAACAATGGCGTAACTGTCCCTTTAAAAATCACTTTTTAGAGTAAAAAATTCTTATCCAATGTATACATTTCTTTCAACATGTAAAGAGTAGAGCAGTTGACTTACAACATGTTGATCGTGTAAACAGCAGAGAATAACTTAAACAGGCGTCTCATCATTGTTAAACAGTCCAGGGATTATTTCATTCAAAATCGGCGTGGTGAGTGCAAGATTTAATACTACCCGTTGTATATCAAATATCAAATCACTGCATTAGTTCGTTACCCAAATTAAAAGCATTAACAATTTTAAGTGACATATCAACTAAAATTAACCATAATCTAAACAATAACAATTTTAATAACATAGCATGATTATAATAATATTCATTATAAATTGATAATTGGTTCCCAATCACAGTCGTTCGGAACGGGAAACCGCCGAATCAGCGTATTAACGGGTAATTGTACGTATTTTCAGGGATATTAGACATCTCTTAACCAAATTACAGCTTTTTAGGTTGAACCATTTTAAAATAAGATAATTCCTTGTCAATAAAATTAATGCCGAAAGTAAATACTCTTATATCTCCTCTTTAATTAAAAAAAATGCTCCATGAGGACGATATTCTCAGCACACACAAAATTAAAAAATCTTTGTACGTGAGAAAATTGCCTTCAAAAATTTGAAATTTGGATTATTTCATTCAAAAGATGAATGGCCATCCCCAAACTGTCGATTGTAAAGGTTTCTCTAGTTGGCATAATTAACAATGGGGATATGCTTGTAGGACAGAATTAGAGAGAAATGAAACAAAATATCACTTGAACAAACTGGACAGGCAATATCTTATATGGAAGAAAGGAATTCGGGCGAGTTTTTGTGGCTATATTGAGCAATAATTTCAAAAGATGTGAAATTATAGCTATTATTTTCAGCATTTTACCGGGAATTTTGAAAATGCAGGGATTCCAATGTTGCCCGACCTATAAAGCTATAATTTGCTCCAAAGATATCTAATATCCTTAAAAATATCAGTTCAAAATATTATGATCATAGCTTTGATATTTTATGAAAAACCTGAATTGAAAAGTGTTGTCGTTTTTTTCTTATGTGCCACCATATATGACATAAACAAAATCACCAATGCATCCAATATACCTCTTGCTTTATATTAGTTTTAATGGAGAAATAACTATCGATAATACAACCCCGTAAAGAGTCGTGGCATAAATATTCCAGCATTATTGGGACATAATAATACACATGATGATGGTAATATAATCATATTAACACCTATCATTGTAAAAATTCAAATTTCTGAAAAGTTTTCGCTCTTATATTTGTGTGACTTCACTTGAAGTTGTATTACTGAATAACATGTTGTAAAGATTGTATATGTTAATTACCGAAAATTGTCCGAAAATACTGAATATATACTGAAAAAATACTGGTGACTTTTAAAGATCCAATATTCTGTTTTTTCAGAATGAGTTACTCAGTTATGATGATTATTTTACTCGTTGGATCAGTTTCCAGTCATAAACAGTGTGAACCATCCGATGATGTGTGTGAATTTTGGCTAAATGTTGAATATAAAATGTCCATGATGAAAGATGGTGAGGCTTTGTTTCCTGCTAATGGTAAATTATATAAATACGATGTGACTAACACCAGCGCTGCGGAACCTGTAGATCTGGAAAATGTAGCTATAACAGATGGTTGGGAAGAACCACGTCTACTGATTGCTGTAAATGATCAGTTCCCGGGACCAGCAATTGAGGTCTATCAAGGACAAACGGTGGTCGTACATGTCACCAACTCACTTCCCAGTGATTCTATGACAATACATTGGCATGGCTTGCCACAGGTTGGAACTCCGTGGATGGATGGTGTATCATTTCTGACACAGTGTCCCTTTCTTCCGGGGCAAACATTCACCTATCGCTTTAAAGCCTCGCATAAAGGAACGTATTGGTATCATTCACATATTGGTATGATGCGTTCTATGGGCAATTATGGGCCCTTGATAATAAGAGAGAAGAAACCGTTGCGAATGAAGGAGTTCATAATGTTACTCACAGAATGGAACCATGATTGGGATTCCAATCTTGCCCAACTGAAAGAGGAGGATGGTATGTTCATCAATCGAACGGAAATTAAAGAAACACATTCTCTAGACGGTGCTAAATTTAGTTTGTTTAATTTTCATTCAGTTCTAGTTAATGGTAAAGGTCGATATTTCTCTGAGACGGGTGACAATGGGGCGCCTTTAGAGAATTTTTCTGTAGACAAGAGGAATGACTATGTATTTCGCATTATAGCAGCAGGTGTCCAGGTACCATTTAGATTCTCCATAGACAATCATGATATAACTGTAATAGCCTCAGATGGTTATGATCTTGATCCTTACACAGCAGAATCGTTGATCATTCACCCAGGGGAAAGATATGATGTCCAGATAAGTGCCTCTGCTGATATTTCTAATTACTGGATACGCATTGTGTCTGTGGAAGCAGATGTAGAACGATTTGGATTAGCTATTTTGAAGTATAAAGGTGCTACTGGCGTTGAGCCAACGACATCAAAGAGACTCTGTACTGCACAAAACAAGTGCAGGGTTGTAAACTGCCCTTTCTTACATTACCCCCAGTCTCAAAACATTGAATGTGTTACTTTCGACCAGTTGAAGAATAAGGTTGAAGATAAAGCCCCAAACGGTCCTCTGGAAGAAGATCAAGAATTCTTTCTGAATTTCGCTTTCCCTGGATTAGCGTGGATTCCAGGTTCGGTTAATGGAAGAACATTCAGGAAACCTGTTGTTTCTGCTCTAACTCAACCTCAAGAGATTGAAATTGAATGTAAAGATGATTGTGGAGAAGAGAAAGTATGTCAGTGCCCTTACTCTATAGATTTGCATCATGGAAAAACATATCAGATGGTTTTTCTAAACATGGGAATTGGAAAAGGTTTCTCGCATCCAATACACATGCATGGACATTCCTTTTATGTTCTAAAAATGGGATATGGTAGCTATAATGCTACTACTGGAAAGATAATAGGCGATAACTTAGATATTGATTGTCGAGGTCATTTAGACAGAGAAAAGAGTTTCTGTAATGATGCCACATGGACAAACCCAAGTTGGTTGGGAGGTAATGTTCCAGGACTTGAACTCAAGAATCCACCAAGAAAAGATACGATAATTGTTCCTACTGGAGGTTATGTTGTGGTAAGAATCAAGGCTGATAATCCTGGTGTTTGGTTCATGCATTGTCATATTGAGCTACATACAATGGATGGTATGGCTGTTATGCTAAACGAGTCGTTTGACATGCATCCACCTCCACCTGAAGGATTTCCAACATGTGGCAACTTTGACTATTCTCGGCCAGCTCCCATGAGAATGCCATCATCATCTACACCCAAACCACACGACGAAGAAAAGAACGAAGGTCCTGGATACAGCAAATATGACAGATATGGGGGAGAATTAGGTAACTTTTTTAAAAACTAATCTGAAAATCTGTATCAAAATACAAATCGGTATTTTCTAAAGTGTAGGTAGGGCCAATACTTTTTCAAATCGGTTTCTCCATGTCAGCAATGGTAAAACGTCTAGTAGATTGAATGGGATGTGATTTTGACAGGTGTCGAAAATGAGTAAAGGATATGACAATTTCTCCTAATTGCATATTGCATTGAGTTGCCTGTTTTATAAGCTCAATCAGGTACAAGTGTCAGCTATAATTATTTCATTCTGAAATTTATCACACGATCTATCGTATGAATAATTTGTATTAATAATGGAATACTTGTGCTGTGTTTTTTGTAGATAGTTTAAAAGATAATAGAGCATTCTGGGGAATAGTCGGTGCTTTAATTGCTATAGTATTAATACAGTCTGTATTATTGGTTTGGACATGTAGAAAGGCATTCCGAGAAGAAGAAGATAGTAAAATTACTTCAATGTGATTAGAAATATATTGTTAGAGACTATAACTTACATTACAGTGGTTATATTATCAGAAGACTATTAAAATATTTTTATATCTGCTTATTAAACCTACATACCGTCATGCATAGACAATAATAATAACTATAATAATAATAATCACTTTATTAGGGTAAGAAATGGATTGTTTAAATTAATTATCAATCTGGACACTATATAAATTCGTCAGGTATTTTGGAAATGTTGTATATATATATATTGCGCATTTTATTTCAGGTATGCAAAATTATTAATGTATGTGCATATTAGCCCGAGGCAGATATGATTTAAACTTTGAACCTTTCAATTATTTGATAATCGTATTAGATTGTGAATTTTTCTAGTAAGAAAGTACGCCGGTGGTAATGTATGTATTATGTTATTGAAGAAATGTCGTTATATTCACTTTATTATTATTGTATCTATGGGGAGGATCTAACTATACCTCGTTCTGCTCTAATTTAATTCTATTCACAGATTCACACTAACTGTAAATAATAGAAATACCGCTGCAACTCGGTCATACATCAGATCATATAACAGCGCGATGGTATTTAATCAACATTTATACCTCTTTTAGAATATCTATACGGTCGGCAAACGAGATTATATATATCTGTATGGACACACTCCGGTAATTCATTTGCAAATTGTATCCATGTTAAATCTCAAAATTCAACCTTCTATAACTATTTCCAGAAATCTCCTTGAAAACTTGTCATATGAAAGCCTGACCAATGCTTAGTTTCTGTACAAATGTTAAATATATCATGACCATGAAAATCTTGAACTAGCCAAACTGAAAGTATACCACTACATTATTCTAACATCGGCTTGACTGTCAATGCACACAAAACGACTGTTTTTAGAATTATCCTTCAGCATGAAAATCTCTCATCATCTCACTAAATCTGAGAGAAAATGCAATTTCAGGCATCAAATTCCAAATCTGGATCACAATTTACTTAAAAATAGGCTGGCAAAACCTCCAAAAGGGAGGGAGAAAGAGGATTTCTAAAAACAGCACGGACTAATACAATCATTAGCGTAAAATTAAGTGGGTCCGTATCTTCTTTCATTTTATCTAAATCCTTTGAGTTACTTCCCTTGAATTAAAAATTCATATTATGCAGGATTGAAGCTTTTTATAATCAACCTAGTGTACAAGCAAAAAAGAGAATAAACCTCAAAGCAGAGTTATAGATCTGGTAAAAATAAATTAAAAATCGGTCAAGGTTTTATAAAGATATTAAATTCAATAATGGCAGAATAAGCAAGATAGCTTGCCAGGAAAGGTAGCATACGCCCACTGGCAGCTTTGATTTTAAATAAAACTAGAGCCACTCGTGGCACAGAGTGGGACTTTGCAAATGTAGCAATTTGCTAAAGACCCCGAAAAAATCAACCATCGACGATAATTAGGTCAAGCGCAAGAACAAGTCTAAAGTTGATAATTTTTTATTTTTTAGAAGATTCTAATACCGGAAGTAGACGTCAGACCTCACAAATGAAAGTATCAGCAGATAGCCAAGGTCAATGACCTTTGATCTTGTAAAGGAGAAGGCCTAAAAAGGTCAAGATCAAGAGATATACGCCATTAAAATTTCAAATTGCTAACGACTATAAAACCAGAAGTTGACTTAGGACAGCAAATATAAAAGTATAAATAGATAGCCAATGCCAATGACGTTTGATCCTACAAAGGTCAAGGTCAACAAAGGTCAAGTTCAAAAATTAAAAATTTTGAATTTCCAAAACCTGTTCCTTTTTTTGAACTATGAAGCGGAAACAACCAAAATTCTAAGACAAAGTGGCTCAAAATATAAGGTAATTGTGTAAAAAGTTCCATTTTGAACAAATGTATACTTTGCGAGTTATGCCCCTGGCCAAAAATATCAATAATAAGTAATTTAACCCGGAAGTGCCACGCCAAACTCAATTTTTTTTGAATAAGTTAATCAATATTCAAAATGTTACGTTATGTTCCAAATGTCAAGTTCCTACATAATAGAGGTCAAAAGATATAGGTCAACAAAAGTAAAAAAAGGGTCAAAATCGAAAAATGAAAATATCCAAATGTTAAAACCCGTTCCTTTTTTGAAACTATAAAGCTGAAACAACTGAGCTGTTAATACATACTGGCCAAAAGGATGAGGTAATTGTGTGCAAAGTCTCTTTTTGAACAAACGCATCCTATGCGAGTTATGCCCCAGCCCCAAAATGTAAACAATTAGTAATTTAACCCGGATGTGCCACGCCCACATAAGTTTTTTTGTCATAGGTGAATTCATATTCAAAGTGTCTAGTTGTATTCCAAATATCAAGGTTCTACATAGAAAAGGTCATAAGATATACATACACGAAGATCAAAAAGACACAAATATGGTAAAACTAAACTCAAATTTGAAAAAATCACGAATTTCAATTTTGCTTTAAAAAAGCAATTGTTCTATATCTATGTAAAGTGCATGAGAACCACATTAGAAAACCGAAAAAATTAACCCTCTAGGTTAATTAGGTCACGTGCTAGAGCAGTCCAAAGTTGCGAATTTGGATTTTTACGGATAGCTATAAAACCGGAAGTACATATCGGAGGTCAAAGGTCAAAGTATCAAATGATAGCCAAGTTCAATGACCTTTGACCCTATAAAGGTCAAGGTCATCAAAGGTCAAGGTCACGAGATATACGCCATCAAATATTGAAAAAATTCAATCGCAAATTGCAAAAAAGCAAAATCGAAATTCAAAAATCGGCTTCCTGCGATCTCTCTTAATTTTTATGTTCTTTCATTTGACACCAAAATTTTGAAAGTCGGTTCAGCCAAATTGGCTGAATAAAAATCGAAGAGTTTCAGGGAAATCAAAATGGCGGCCAAAGTTTCACGTCTGTTCCGGATTTTTTTTTCTTCGTTTTTTTGTCATAACTTTGTCTATCTATAAGCATAAATTTTTTTGTCCTATACAAATTACACCGGAAGATATTCAACCGGAAGTGAACATCGATTTCCTGTTTAAACCGGAAGTGAAATTGAAATTTTTACTGTACCATTTTGTTTCTTTCTTAAACTGTCTTTGCTCAATTTTTTTCAGATTAATCAGACAAAAAGCAACAAAAATGAAAAAAATGCAAAATTTGGCAAAAAAAATGTCTGCGACAAATTTTCGAATTTTGAAATTTTGAAACTGCTATTCTTTCAGATTTTGCCAGTAGATTCCAAAAATGCAAACCCAAAGAAAATCGACCGAAAAATACGACTTCTAGAGCCGATTAACTATTCTTGCTCATATTGAACTGTGGCACTTCCGGTTTTGCAAAAAAGATCCAAAATATATTTATGCACATCGTCGCCTATATCTAAGGTTCGTGAATGTTGAATGGTTGCTGCAACTATTGTAGTTTAAGCTCAGGAAGGTGTGTAAATTTCGAAAAAAAAAAAAAAAAAAAAAAAAAAAAAAAAAGAATTGACATTTCGATAACAAACTGGGACTTTGCTGAAAGCAAAGTCCCACAAATATTTAGCAATACAGTTACTATCACCAGTAAGAAATATTCAACCTTCAGTCATACACTTCTTTTTAATGTTTTGAGGCGATACCGAATAATATTACCAAGTTTCATCAAAATCTGTCAAGAATTGGGCCTTCTAGAGTGTTTACAAGCTAAAACTTGAACGCTTTTTAAGAACAGGGGCAATAATTCTTATCTAATTATTTTCCGATTATTCTGATTTTCGTTAGGGTTCATCTTTGGGTGATTACAAACACTAACACCAAGTTTCGTCAAAATCCATCAAGATTTGTGCCTTCTGGAGTGTTTACGAGCTCAAGATTAAACCCGTTTTCAAGAACAAGGGCAATAACTCATACTTAATATTTTTCAATTTTTCTTATTACCGATAGAGTTTATCCTTGGGTGATTACAAACACTCACACCAAGTTTCGTCAAAATCCCCCCAGAATTGTGCCTTCTAGAGTGTTTACAAGCTAACATTGAAAGCGTTTTCAAGAACAAGGGCAATAACTCATACTAATTATTTTTTTTTTATTTTTTTTTATTTTAAATAGGGTTCATTCCTGGGTGATAACAAACATTCACACTAAGTTTCATCAAAATCCGACAAGAATTGCGCCTTCGAGAGTGTTTATGAGTGTTTTAAGAAGAAGGGCAATACAATAGAATAAATATTTTTCGATTTTTCTCATTTTCAGTAGGGTTCACCCTTGGGTGATGACAAACAACCATACCAATCAATCAAGAATTGTGCCTTGTAGAATGTTTACGAGCAATAATGGACGGTCAGGGTGACGAAAATATACGCCCCCTTTTTCATGTGGGCGTATAAAAATCATTAGAAAACTAAGTTTACTCTTTTGACATTTACAAAAAAATTAGAATGATGTTTTCTGTATTATTCTCAGTTGTTTTACTTAAATGTGTTTACCTTTCTTTTCTTGAAAATGAATGCTATTTTCAATGGAATGGATTTAGGCTATATCTATAGAAAAACAAACCACAATTTCTACTCAAATTTTAAACCTTATAAATGGCAGATGGAAAACTAGATCCAATATTTCAATTACATGATCCAATTCGATATGCATTTAATAAAAAGAAAGAAGATTACATTATTATCAGCCCCAATGTCGGTTCTAAATCCCAACTAAATGATGGTGGACGGGTCACTTTCGAGATTAATTCACTGTCAAATTGGCTGCTTCTGTCTGATGCTTATTTCAGATGCGATTTCAAAATAAAAATGAGAATCGTGTTCCACAAACTAACACAACATTAGAAAACAATTTCTTCCCATCTCTTTTCCGTGAGATGATTTTAGAGGCAGGTTCAAATCCGATAGAAACAATTAAACACCCCTGGGGAATTTGATACAATGTTGAAAACAGTTTTATATCGACTTCGATTCAGTCTCAGGCTGGATACCCGATGTTGGAAGTGTTTTAAAAGAACCGGTAAGAAATGTTGCAAATGATTTAGCTAGAGTGAGAGTTATTGCTCGAAACACATAGAGAAAGAGTAGGACGAGCATCTAATCATGGATTTGAAAAACGAGTACTTCAATACAACAATACCGTTGGCTAATAGTTGGGGTAATTACGTAAATTGGAAGTTATATCCATTATTCGGTCTTTTGGAACACAGAAAGGTTTCCATAGGATTACCATATACAATTCATCTACAAAGAGAAATCAACGATGATAAGATATTCTTAGAGAGAATCATAATAATAATAATAATAACTTTATTAGAAACCCAGTTGCACAAGGCAATCTTCCCTGGGATCTTTCTGCATAAAACTACGATAACATATTTACAAAATGATAAACAAAAAATAAGAATGAAATTAAATGAATATATGAAAATGTATGGTTGCGATAATAATGTGATTAACACATAAAATAAATGTGTTGATAACCATACCATTATCACGGCACCATTGGCTGATAGTGTTTAAGTCCTCTTGAAGACAGCTTTGAATGTAGTCTAGTTTTTTATCGGAAAAATGTATAGTAGTATCATCAGCAAATATTTCGGGAATGACATTTTTAGTATAAAATGGAAGATCGTTTATGAAGATAAGAAACAAAAGTGGTCCAAGGATAGATCCCTGAGGAACACCACATTTTAGCGTCCTCTTGAAAATTACCAAGACAGACTTTTTGGTTACGGTTTGATAAATACGATTTAATTAAATATAACAAATTAGGATGAAATTTATATAAAATAAGTTTGTCAAGAAGGAGCTGGTGATCCAAAAGATCAAAAGCCTTACTGAAATCCAAGTAGACAACACCTGTCAATTTACCCTGGTCTAAACATGCAAGCCAATTATCAGTAATCCGAACTAGTGCTGTAGAACAAGAATGATTCTCTCTAAAACCGACTGGTTAACATAAAATAAATTGAAATTATTAAAATAGGACTTAATATTAATGGAGATATGTTTTTCAAAAATTTTAGAAATGGTGGGTAAAAAAAAAATTGGTCTATAATTGGAAATGTTTTCTTTGGGACCTTTTTTATAAATTGGCTCTATTTTAGCTTCTTTCAGTTGATCGGGAAAGATACATTTGGTTAAACACAAATTTATAATATGAGTAAGTCAACTTGAAATCACCTCAGCTGACATTTTTAAAAAATTTTGGGCTGTCTAAACCCGTAGCCTTTTTGGGTTCAAGGTTTTTAAGATATCTTAGTACTTCTGAAACTGAGATAAGAGGTAGGTCAAATAGAAAATCACCAGAAACTTTGTCATTGACGTAATTTTGAATGATATTTGGTTGTTGAAGAGGTTTATACGGCGGCTTTATATCGTCTGTTATATTGGTAAAATAATCCTTCCAATACAAAATTAGAAATAACAAAACTCCAACTTTATATACCTGTCATAACACCATCAATTGAAGTAGGAGTAAATATAAATATTCATATTGAAAAAACACAAGGAGATGTAACCGGGTACTGTTTATTATTGGAAGAAGCAAAACATTTAATTAAAATAGCAGATAGAAGAATGATAAGATTTGAGTAAAAAATACCCTTAAAAAGTTATTGAAACAGCTTCACCAACTGTAATAGCTTACAATGGTAAAAAAAATCAACATAAATAAAAAAAACTTATTGATGAATATAAATATTGTCAGAGATGAAATAGATTTAGAAAGAATTGACGCGAACGCAAAGGAAGGTGGATTTTTACCTTTCCAACCATTGATATTTGCTGGCCTGACCGTAGCTGTCAACGGCAAGAAAGAAGCTGATGCTGAAAGAAGTGAAAAACGTAGACATAATATGGAAATGGAAAAGATAGCGGGAGGTTCAGGAGTAGCAGATATATTAGAGACAGTTAAAGAAGTTTGAAATCGATTTATCGAAGAAACCAAGAAAACTGTTAAACAAGGATTAAATAATCTAATAGATAAGATTGACACTGGAGAAATGAAAGTCAAACAAATGGGAAATACCATAGTTTTTAAAAACATACGTTCTGGAGAGGGGCTATTTCTTTCAAAGTATAAAGGAGAAGGTATAATTTTTAGAACAAAAATATAGGAGTAATAAATAGATAAAAAATGGGAAAGAAATTTAAACAATCAGAAATATTCCCAGTAACTCAATGCTTATGTGTATATGCGGTAGTTTAGGTTCTGGTAAAACTCATCTCACTTTTAACATGTTGACAACACCAAAACTTTTAGATTTCGATTCACTATATATCTACACAACAACACCAGAGCAATCATATTATCAATTCCTCAAAGCTTTAGAATATTTACCAAAGGATCCGTTCAAGACATATTCAAATATTATGAAGACAATGATGAGAAAAGAATCCATCTTTCCATCCAACGGATATAAAAGTTTTTCTTACGAAAAATGTTAATGATTTAGATTTGTCTAAAATTGATAGTGACCGAAAGAACTTATAGTGTTTGACGACTGTGTAGCACAAAGAAATCAAGCTGTTCAACAAGAATTCTTCACGAACGGAAGACATCCCAACTGTCACTGCATATACCAATCCCAATCCTTTTACGGGATGGATGCTATGTTTATTAGAACAAATGCAAATTGTTTTTTATTATTTGAATTAAACGACAAAGATTTATCTCAAATCATTCAGTCTATAAATCACGGAATGGACAGAGATACATATAAAAACGTTTGTAAAGCTCAATGGAGAAACCCAGATGATCATGGATATATATTTGTAAATACTAGAAAACCTAGTGAAAAGTTATGACGGACATTTGTTAAATTTTATTTTTTTTAAATTGAGTAGCCATTGGAATAATATTTCAAAAAGAAATATGCAATATATCAAAGCTAAGAATAAAATAAAGTCATAGGTTGAAAATAACAAATTACAACAACATGTACTAACAGAAAATTTACAAACTCTATTTCAACCAATATTGAAGACTCAAGAGGATATTAAAAAGAAATTAGCTATAGAAGCTAAGGTTAATCCTTCTCATATAGAATATCCACCTATTGATTATGGTGAAGTTATAATTAGGACATTAGATGATATACAACATTATTTTTCAAATCAAGATCCATTCTTACCAAAAACAATTAAACCAACTATTGATAAGGATGGATTACTTCTTAACGATTTTAGGGTTCGTTTCAATAAAGACAACCTAACATTTAAAATTGACACAAAAGAAGGTATATATAATTTAACAACTGGTATGATTAATCTTATGAATGGCTATGATGAAGAAGGTTATAGTTTTAGTGATTTAAAGTCATACGTACAAATTCTTAGATCGATTAGAAGAGGTGTAAAAACTTCAAGATTAAAAAGCAAGGAAAAGAATTGGAAGGCTTTGATGACATCGATGACAATAATTACGATGAGAACTATAATGATGATGTCAATTACAACGAGGAACTACTTTATTTTAGCAGCCATGAAAGAAGGTCATCGATCAGACAGACAATATAATGAAGTGAATTGTATACTAAAAAGATTCATAGAGAAGGTATTATAGATAAAAATGATTATAAAAACGTGATTAAAATGTCAAATAAAGAACAATTATTCGTTATAAATAAATAAATAAATCAGACATTAAATTATCTCTGGATTATGAGTATGAACTTGATCGCAATCGAGAATATGAATTGGCATTAAAATAAAATTTTTACAATTCCACTAGAAATATCAACGAAGATAATAACCAAATGAAAATATCAACAGATAACGGAGCTACATTCAAAACCATAAGTTTACTACCAGGAAGCTATGAATACGTAGCCATAAACGAATACCTATCTGAATATTGAGGAAGTACAAATGGTAAAAACAATATTGGATTCGGAGGTAATTTGAATCTGAACAAAATAAAATTGATATTAAGTTGATTTCAACATAGAAAATTCATTGGATGCGTTACTAAGATTTGATAAACAAATATATACGCAATCAACTTTAGCACCATATAAAGCTAATATCGTGAATGATATCGATGTGATAAATATAAATTGCAATTTGATAAACGGTGGATTTTTCAATAAATACAAACGTCAGATTATTAACAGTCTTCCAACATTCACTGTTCCTATTGGATATAGAATTATAGAAAAACCATTTCCAACAACATATTTACCTCTTAATTCGCTCTTCATTCTCTTCTTGAATAGTTAGATAATCGAAATCATCAAATTCATAGTTTCCATCCAAAACCAATTCATCTTTATCACCATAAGATACACGATTCCTTCACTATTTGGTGGCTTTCTCTTTACAAGATTCAAATAGTAGTATATGAGCTCGTAGATTGGTCGCATTTTTCCCCCATTCCATTTCATTTCATGGGAAAAATGCGACCAATTTATGAGCTCCCAAAAAAAAAGACCTAAATTCCCTACATTTCATAAATTCCTACAGCAAAAGATCCTACGTTTCATAAAATTCTTACATTTCATAGATTCTTACACCAAAAAACACCTTTAATCAATTTCCTACATTCCATCAAAAAAGCATATTAAAAATACCCTTATATAAAATAACATCTGGTTTTAAAATGTAGAAGGGAGATAACTCTTGTTTAGGAAAAAACAATTTTCTACTCAAATTTTAAACTTTAAAAATGGCAAATAAAATACTAGATCCAATCTTTAGATTATACGATCCGATTTGTTATTCATTTAACAAGAAAAAAGAGGATTATATTATCATCTCACCGACTGTTGGTTCTAAATCCCAATTGAATGATGGTGGTAGAATTACCTTCGAAATAAATTCATTATCGAATTGGTTGCTTCTTTCCGATGCTTATTTCAGATGCGATTTCAAAATCAAAGACGCCACTCAGAATCAAGTTCCTCAAACAAATACAACGTTAGAAAACAATTTCTTTCCATCTTTATTTAGCGAGATGGTTTTGAAAGCTGGTTCAAATCCGATAGAAACCATTAAACACCCTGGGGAATTCAACACAATGTTGAAAACAGTTTTATATCCTAAAGATTTCGATTCAGTCTCGGGTTGGATACCCGATGTTGGCGATGGAAGTGTTTTAAAAGAACCGGTAAGAAATCTTGCAAATGATGCCGATTTAGCTAGAGTGAGAGTTGTTGCTCGAAACACGATAGAAAGAGTAGCACGAGCAGCTAATCATGGATTCGAAAAACGAGTACTTCAGTACAATAATGTTGTTGAGAATAATAGGTGGGGTAAATTGGAAATTATATCCTTTATTCGGTCTGTTGGAACACAGAAAGGTTTCCATAGGCTTACCATATAAAATTCATCTATAAAGAGAAATCAACGACGATAAGATATTCTTTGGAGAGCATGGTTCAGATGCAAAATTAGAAATAACAAATCTCCAACTTTTCATACCCGTAATAACACCATCAATTGAAGTAGAAACGAGAATATTCAACTCGTTAACTAAAGATATTGAAATAGCTTTTCTTCATCGTAACACGGTAGGTAGCATGATTTTAACGGGAGAATCCACCACGTGGCCAATCACTAACACTATTAAACCAGCAAGATATTTAATGGCTGGTTTCAAGAACTTACCAGATTCTCAAACAAATAACAATAATGTCTTTAGAGTGGCAATGAACCAAACTCAAAATCCTTTAATCCATAAAGTTCAAGTAAGATTACTTACTTACTACTGGAATAACAAAAACCGTCCTCTCAAAGAAAGCAGCTGCAGTAACAGCAGCTGAAGAACGTAGACACAATTTAGCAATGGAAAAGGAAGCACGAGGTTCAGGAGTGGGAGAAATGATAGGCACAATAAAAGAATTTGGAAAAAGATTTGGGGGAGAAACCAAGAAAACTGTTAAACAAGGATTAAATAAATTAGTAGATAGTATTGACACGGGAGAAGTCAAAGTCAAACATAAGGGTAATGGAATATTTTTTAAAAAATATACACTCTGGAGAAGGAATATTTCTTTCAAAGTATAAAGGAGAAGGGGTGATTTTTGGAACAAACTAAAATAATAAAAAATGGGCAAAAAATTTAATCATTCAGAAATATTTCCTAATAACCCAATGCTCATGTGTATATGCGGTAGTTCCGTTCTGGGAAAACTCTTCTCACTTTTAACATGTTGACAACACCAAACCTTTTAGATTTCGATTCTTTGTATATCCACACAACAACACCAGAGCAATCGTATTATCAATTTCTCAAAGCTTTAGAATATCTACCAAAGAAAGATGTTCAAGACCTATTTCAATATTACGAAGAAAACGAAGAAGAAGTGGAAATAAAAGATATCATAGATAACTTCATCGAAGCAAAGAAACCAACGGATATAAAAGTTTTTCTTACGAAAAATGTTAATGATCTAGACTGGTCTAATATTGATAGCAAACGAAAGAACTTAATATTGTTTGACGACTGCGTAGCGTAAAGAAATCAAGCTGTTCAACAAGAATTCTTCACGAAGGGAAGACATCATAACTGTCACTGCATATACCAATCCCAATCTTTTTACGGGATGGATTCTATGTTCATTAGAAAAAATGCAAATTGTTTTTTATTATTTGAATTAAACGATAAAGATTTATCTCAAATCATTCAGTCGATAAATCACGGAATGGACAGAGATGTATTTAAAAAGGTTTGTAAAGCTCAATGGAAAAACCCAGATGATCATGGATATATATTCGTTAATACTAGAAAACCTACAGGTGAAAGAGTTATGACAAAAATTTGTTAAATTTTATTTTTTAAAAAATGGATAATTGGAATAATATTTTAAAAAGAAATAAAGAATATATCAAAACTAAGAATAAAATAAAGACCCAAGTTGAAAATAACAGATTACAACAACTCGGATTAACGGAAAATCTACAAACTCTATTTCAACCCATATCAATCTCAAGAGGAGACTCATCCCTCCTATAGAACCCACACCTCCTATAGAACCTCATCAAATAGAATATCCCATCGATGGTATTATAATTAGGACATTAGATGATATAAATCATTATTTTTCAAACCCTGACCCAGATTTACCAAAGAGCATTTCACCAATTGTTGATTATGATGGGTTATTGTTTAATGAACATAGAATAAGATTTGAAAAAATTTATCCTGTATTCAAAATCGATAGAATAGATTTTATATTTACAACAACAGAAGGATTAATAGATTTAATGAATGGTAAGGATTTTAAGATTGCCGATTACAAGGATTTAGTAGCATACTCAAAATTTCTAAGAGCAATTAAAAGGACAGGACCCGACACAAAAAGATTACAAGACGTTGATAAACGTATAACAGAACTTATTGCTCGTGAATATGAACTTGATGAAGCAGATGATTATACAGAAGATTATCCACCAATCATACAAGAAATAAACGAATTCGAAGATATGATATCTGGACAAGGCATGACGTTTTTATCCGACAACAACGAAGAATTGCTTAATAGATTACTAGTAATATTAGCGGCAATGAAGGAAGGACATCGATCGCACAGACAATATAATGAAGTAAATTGTATACTAAAAAGACTCCTAGAAAAAGGTATCATAGATGAAAATGATTATAAAAACGTGATTAAAAATGTCAAATAAAGAACAACTATTCGTCATCACCTCAAATAAATCAGACATTAAATTATCTCTAGATTATGAGTACGAACTCGATCGCAATCAAGAATATGAATTGGGATTAAAGTATTTCTCTGTTTACAATTCCATTAGAAATATCAACGAAAAAAATAATCAATTAAAAATATCAACAGATAATGGAGTTACGTTCAAAACAATACGTTTACTACCAGGAAGCTATGAATACATAGCCATTAACGAATATCTATCTGAATATGGAGGAAGTGTTAATGGTAAAAACAATATTGAATTCGAAGGTAATTTGAATCTGAACAAAATAAATTAAAATTGATATTAAGAAATAATAGTCAAGTTGATTTCAACTTAGAAAATTCATTGAATACGTTACTAGGATTTGATAAACGAGTATACACCCAATCCCCTTTAGCACCACACAAAGCTAATATCGAGAATAATATCGATGTCATTAATATACATTGCAATTTGATAAACGGTGGATTTTTCAATAAATACAAACGTCAGATCATTTACAGTCTTCCAACATTCACTGTACCGATAGGATATAGAATTATAGAGAAACCATTTCAAACGACGTATTTACCACTGAATTCCTTCATGATTAAAGATATAAATCTGGAAATCAAAGATGGTAAAAATAGGTTTATAGATTTTGGTAACGAGGAAATTGTTATTCAACTTCATTTAAAACAAAAAAATTAACACTCTTCATTCTCTTCTTGAATAGTTAGAGAATCAAAATCATCAAATTCGTAGTTTTCATCTATGTTCAATTCTTTTCCATCGTTCTAAGGATACATGATTCCTTCACTGCTTGGTGCTTTTCTCTTAACGAGATTTAGATAACTTCTAAAAACTTTTTTTGTTTATCATCATCCTTTGGAATAACTACTCCATTGGTGAAACTTTTTACCCAAGGTTTCTTAAATTCATTCGTTACATCGAGTCCACTAGCTAATCGAATATAATCTTCTACGGATATCTTATCTTTAGAGTAACCCTTAAACGTTTTCTTTTCTTTTAAAACACCATCGAAAGTTAGAATGATATTGTATTTAACTTTTGACGCTAAATATAAACCAAATATAATTCCACCATCACCGTAATCATTCTTTCCTTTACAATAATCATTTTCGGACACCAACCCAGCTTCATTTAATTTATCCCAATTGCTAGACGAAATCTATAAACTATCGGTATCCGTATAGTATATTTCAGGCTTATAAAATCCCTCTATCACGCGAATAAAATTATTCATTATTTTTTTACTGTGAGATAAAACGAATGATCCCAAATGACTAGGTGTTAGTCGTGTAGATTTAGGAGGAATAAATTCTTTTTCTTCTTCATTTATCTCAACTATATATTGACTATCATTTACTTTTTCATAGCTTTTGACGTGTGAATCATAATTGGCTTTTAAAGTAGCTTCACTCCATAGATGTCTTGATGTAGTTATATCCTTCTGAATAGATTTACCATACAAGGAATTACCTAATAATTTCATGCAATTACTACCCACAATATTACCTTCTCGTTTATATTTATTTTTTAAGATCTCTTAAAATTAAAATATAATCTCTATAGGGTGGAGTTTTAAAATTTTCTTCGTAAACTATACCATGTAATATTTTAATAATTCGTCCACCGGCTTTCACTATTTCTTGAATATCTACCGAAGTTAAAACGTCGTGACAGAAACCATTTCTGAATCTGATTTTAGTGCCAATTTCCTTTTTATCTTCTTTATTCGTGAAAGTGATTTTATCTTTAGCTGGTATGGGTTGGAAGAACATGTTTTTGGGATATTCAAAACAGACTTTTAAAATAGCAGTTCTAGGTCTGAATTTCTGTTCATTAAAGAGCTTGACAAATTCTTTATTTTCTTCCGGTAGAGTATGTGAGTATGTGAGTAAACTTTTTCTACGTTTTCTTTTTCGGTGTGTTTCGGAACCATTCTAGTAGTTTCATACCATTCTTCTTCAACCATTTCTTTATCGTAATGATATAAATAATACCAACCCTTTAAAGATAAAGAAGGAGCTGTTAGATTATTGGAAATATTTTGAAAAACAACTTCTTCATTGCTTGATTGTATTTTATCAAACAAGCTCCGAGACATAACGTATCTCTTTTAGCGTAAGGTTCCCATTCGTGTCTTAAAGATTCCCAATTATCTTTAGTGTATTTTGCAATATTAACATCCTCGATCTTTCTCAAATTCATTGGTAGATTAGATGAATTTCCCCATGCTGCCAAACTAGATGATTCGTGTTGATAGGAACATATGAAATTAATAGTTTGCAAATAATTAGAGTTACCCCTTATTTCTTTCTGTATTTTCCATTTTTTTCTTCACCAGTGAATGAATTGGTTAAAGGTAGAGACAGAATTCCTCTGGGCGTTTTTAAAGGGCATTGTGTTAGTTTTTTTACGTTTTTGATCATGATCCAGTTATCAAAACCGCTAGCGTTATGAACAATTAATGTTATTCTTTTTTGATCTATTTTTCCTAAACGTTGTAACATTTGATCGATGCAATCTGTACCTACAAATATTTTTACTATATTAGTCATGAGTTTGTTTTAAAATTCTTCTGGAATGGGATCTGTCGGCTTTAAATCTGGAAAGAGATTATTTATTCTGTTTAACATTTTTCTTAGTTTTTCTAAATTAATTAACGTGCAAGAATAAGGTATGGCTTTATTTTCGTTATAGGTTTCGCAATTCCATGCGTATAAACAATCATCGGGAATGGTTGGAAAAACGTTTAGTTTTATAGGTGAAACTTGCGTTACCGCATTATCATCTTTACAAGTTCTCCATACATTTTCATCGTAATTATTTTCTATTTCTTTAATGCCTAAGGTTTTGTTATTTCTTCTTATCAAAACAGAAATGTTCTTTGTGTAAATAAAATACCCAATCTAATTCTTCGGATACTTTCTTTGGTTGAAAATGTTTATGTTTGGGCATATAAATTTGAAAATAAGTATTAAATTTCTTATTGAATTTGCAGATTCTAGCAGATGTCATAACTCCTTTTCTGTTTGATTTTGAAAAACTGTTGATGAAATCTTGAAAATCTCTCGTGTCTTCGAGTCTTCGTTTAAAACACGATTAACGCACTTTACAAAGCAGTATCCATCGCTCGGTATATAACAATTTATACCGATATATTCATTTATCTTTTTGAGTATGGTAACACCACTACCCTTTTTTGATCTTTTCATTTCTTTGAAATTGTTTTTACGAAAAATTATAATTCCTGTGAAATACCAATCAGAAGCATCCGATTTTATATCCACTGTTGCGAAGAAATTGCGAAAAGTTTTGGCATTAAAGCCTACAAATTGCATGCCTTGTTTATATCCTCCATCTTGAGTTATCTCTCCATTTATTTCAATTTGACCTTTAAATGTTATAAATTCATCAGAGATAAGGTTAATAACATCGGAAAAAAGTTTATTTGATATGAATTTTTCATCGTCTAAAATTTCAATTATATTCATATTTTTAAAGCAATTATTTTTAATTAGGAATTTTTAACTTTTATTGATGATATTTCTACATCAAATTTATCTAAAATTTCATTGAATTTTTCTAATTCTTCAACTGTTATGTCTTATCTTCGCTCGATCTTTCGAAAAAAATGAATAATTTATTAAGATATGTATTTAAAATTTCTGTTTTCCTTTTATAATGAGCTTTCTGTTTTGATGTAAAACCTAAAGTAATCAAACCACAAGATGAAGTTTGTACGGCAGTGAACGCGGCTAATACAGTTGGGACAATTATTGGAAGCATTAATCCACCGGTTACGGCTGTTGCCACCGTTATCCCTACTGTTAGAACTGTACTTAATGTTTTGAAAACAGAATCAATTCTACTCCATGTTTTTCTGCATTTGTTGAATTGTTTTAGTTTTTCTTTTAGTTCGTTTTGTTTTTCTATCATATATTGTTGTCTAGTTTCGAGTTCCATTTTTTAGGTAATTAAATTAAATGAATTTCTGATAAAGCTACTTTACTAAAAAATTGCATACTTACTAAGAATATTTGTTCTTTCAAATCATTAATCTTATTCAGATGAACTGAAAATTTTGGTTTCCTTATAGTAAAAAACATAGTAACAGATGCATCATCTCTTTTTATTGGTATTAAAAATATTTTTGTTGTTGACTTTTTTGAATATCGATTGAGGTAAATATATCATTATCAACAAAATATAGTTTTACGTATTCAAAGTCTGTTGCTCGTAAAAACTGATAATTGATTATTTCTTTTTGTGGTTTTGGATTTCTAATAATACTTGCTGATGGTGGAGTTTCCGTTTCCAATAACGTGTCAAAATTACTCAATGAAAGTTCATCTTCTTCATTATCTGGTATGATTAACATTCTAAACTTATCTATATATTTTCCACTTGTTTTAATTTCATATAAGTGATCTCTCTTGCTGTTTTCATCGTTAATTTCTAATTCTTTAGTTTCTACATTTTTCGTACCATTGATAAACTGAAGAACTTTGCGAGCGTTAAATTTTTAAAAAAAAAACGAGAGTTTTGCCTGAAGAATATTGAATCAACTTTTACCTGAAAAGGAAAATTAATTTCAATTATAAGTTTTCCTCGGAAATTAAAAAATATTGAATGATAATCATTCTCTGAATTAAAAATATTATTGGGGTAAATAGTATAATTTGGAACAGAATATACTCTAATATTTGCTGTAAATCCATATTTTTTAAATTCATAGTCTTTTGATTTATCAGTATTATCAGTAATAGAAGGATCATCAAAACCTCTTAATGGAAGATTGAAATAATATGATTCTTTCTTGAGAAACCTTTTTTTCTAATGCGACTATATTTTTGTCCTGTTTTAAAACTAGGTTATTAATAGTGGTAATCTGTTGTTGAATAACACTATCATCAATATTTTGTATTTGTTGATGAATATAGGTTTTGATTTCGCTATCATCTATGTTTTGTATTAGTTGTTGAATATAGGTTTTGATTTCGCTATCATCTATGTTTTGTATTTGTTGTTTAATATTTGTTAGTTCTTTTTGTAATTCACTGTTAAGTTTAGTTTCCAGAGCATTTAATTCCTGTTGAAACGTATCTTCATTTTCATCTGGAATGTTATCTATCAATTGTTGAATGTCTAATTTTTGTTTTGCAATCTTAGATATTAATGAAATTAAATTTTGTAACTCAGTTTTATTCGCTACGTTGACCAATTCTTTTTGAATAAAACTTATTACTCTTTTTACCTCTTGTTGTAGTTTAGTATCATTAATAAAATTTTTATTATTTAGTTGACGTTTGAAGAATCTTTTCACATTACTTATTTTATCTTCTAAATGGTTTTTATTTACTTCAATTGAATTTATTTGTTCCCGTAAATATTTCTTGTGAACGGCGTCATTATCGTTTTCCGGAGACTTTAAATTAGTTATGCTAAAATTGTTCATATCTAAATCACCTTGAAGAGTGTCTCCAATTTGATCCACAAAGTAAGGTTTCGCTTTATTTATCCAAGTTTTTAAGTTTCTAAAGATAAAGAACCTAATCAAAATTTATTCGCCATTTTTATTGAGTTAAATTTATTACAATTTCTTCGAATTGTTTTCCTAAACTCAACTGATATAAAACCCAAATTGAAAGCTGACCACAAAACTTTTGTCCCGGTAATTGAAATTGAAAGGAAGAACATTTAATTGGTTTATTAGTCAATTGGATTATCTCTTCAGTGGGTTCTAATCCATAAGAATCGAAGAAATATAAGTCAGAGTCTTTGTACAAAGCAGAATGATGAACTCCTTTTTGATCGGAAGTATGTATTTTTGTTATCCGTTAAATTTACCTTTTTTATATTTCAGATCATTTATTTCATCTCTCATACAATAATAAAACGGTGATATGTTTAACTCTTTCGCCCATCTCATAAGTTGAAAGTTTGTGGTTGTATCACTTCCATATTTATCGAGAAATTCATTCAATTTTAAAAGTCGGTTTTTTTTAAATATATACGTAGTTTGTGTTTGAAAAAAATTGTATTACATTCTGATAAAACACATTCAATAATATTTTGAACATAAATTTAAATTTAAGAAAGCGAAAATGCTTGAATACAGCTCTTAATCTTCTATCAAATTCTTCATCATTCATTTTTAAAAGTCGGTTTTTTGAAGTTCATTTTGATAAAACCTTCCTATGATTTGTTCTTTGTCTTGATCGATTAATTCATATGTCGGAGGTGATGTGCTGTTTACTTTATCAACGATGAATATTTCGTTTGTCCAGTATCCAACGTAACCTTTTTCGAATTTGCTTTTATATTTGAAAATACGAACTCGATCTCCGACTTTAAATTTGGGTTTGATATTTAAATTCTTTATTTCATTTTCGTAGTTATGTTGCGCGTTAATTGACTTTATAATATTTGGATTACTCGGGGCTGAATGAATTTTGTTATTGTATTCATCTACAACCTCTGGTAATTTTTTAAGCCATTTTTGAGATTTCAATTCCGTGAATTTTTTGAATAATTTATTTTTTAGAGTCCTGTTAAATCTTTCTATTACTACAGCTTTACCTTCGTTATGCGTGCTGTAAATTTCAATTTCTAAATTCTTTGTGAATTTCATCCGCTAATCCCATACCTTATTTCATCTTCGCTTTTAACAGTTTAATGATTAATGCTCTTTGCATTCTCTCTTTGAAAGTTGGATTTGGAATATTTTCAAGTTCGATTATCATTTGTCTGTCTGCTTCGTGTCTGAAGTTTATGTCTTTGTTTCTGTATAAAATATCGTGTTTAAGCGCGGCGGCGTCAACTCTATTGACTCGTTCTTCCCCTGGTTTGGGTTTATCGTTTTCGTCTAATCGCAGATCTAACCTAGTACCTGGACCGGTATAATTATGACCGGGAAGATGTTTTTCTCCGGGATATTTCGCCCATGGAAATCCAGGAAGAGAACCCAATGATTTTTGTATATCTCCTGAACCGAAATAAGTTTTTGGAGCGTGAGCGACTATCATTTTTATCCTATAACTTTAAAACCTTTTCCTTTCCTTTCTTCTAATCTCCTGTTTCGAAGTTCTCTTTCTGTAATTCTTTCAACTCGTTAGATTGTTTCACCGCGTCGCTTATACTCTTTCCCGCTTGCACGATTGAGCCGACGGCTTTCGCTCCGGTTGAAATGAATTGTTTGAAACAAAGCTAGCTACTTTTGGAATTATTTTTGAACCTAGAGAAAATATTGATGAAAAGATACCGTCGCCCGAATAATCTTCGAATTTGTGTTGTTCGTGTTTTAGAATTAAACTCATCCTATTTTTAAATGAGTTAATTTAACGAAGAAATTGTTTTTTCCAAAAACAAGAGTTATCTCCCTTTTCTAGAAGTTTCGAAACTAAAAATAACATTATTTAAAACGAGACTATTAAAAACCGGATGTTAAGCGAAACAAGGATGATATTTTATATAAGGGTATTTTTAATATGCTTTTTTTGATGGAATGTAGGAAATTGATTGAAGGTGTTTTTTAATGTAAAAATTTATGAAATGTAGGATGTTTTATGAAATGTAGGATGTTTTGCTGTAAGAATTTATGAAATGTAGGGAATTTAGGTCTTTTTTTTTTGGGAGCTCATAGATTGGTCGCATTTTTCCCATGAAATGAAATGGAATGGGGGATAAATGCGACCAATCTATGAGCTCATATACTACTTCAAATAACTTCTAAAAACTTTCTTTTGTTTATCATCATCCTTTGGAATAACTACTCCATTTGTGAAACTTTTTTCCCATTTTTTCTTAAATTCATTTGATATATCATGTCCACTAGCCAACCGAATGTAATCGTCTACAGTTATCTTATCATTAGAATAACCTTTAAACCTTTATTTTTTTACTGTGAGATAATACGAATGACCCCAAATGACTAGGTGTTAGTCGTGTAGTAGATTTAGTTTCAGATATTTCTTTTTCTTCTTCTTCTATCTC